GATTACGAAATCTGGCAGATGGACGTCAAAACGGCTTTCCTTAATGGAAACCTCCTTGAGGATGTCTTTATGACACAACCTGAAGGGTTTTGCGCTCCTGAAGAATCTACCAAGGTATGCAAGTTGCAGCGATCAATCTACGGATTGAAGCAAGCCTCACGGAGTTGGAACATCCGCTTTCACGAAACTGTCATCGGCTTTGGTTTTGAAAGAAATTCGGATGAATCTTGTGTATACAAGAAGGTCAGTGGGAGTGCTGTAGTCTTCCTTGCTCTGTATGTTGATGACATACTGCTCATAGGAAACGATATTCCTACTTTAACCACCGTCAAAACGTGGTTGAGTAAGAGTTTCTCTATGAAGGACTTGGGAGATGCCAGTTATGCACTTGGCATAAGGATCTATAGGGATAGATCACGGAAGCTGTTAGGTCTCAGTCAAAGTACATACATAGACAATGTCCTCGCTAGATTCAGCATGTCTGAGTCGAAACGAGGAAGTTTGCCTATGGTCCAAGGCACGAGTCTTTCCAAGACTCAGGGTGCTTCCACTCCGGAGGAAGTAGAACGCATGAGAAATGTTCCTTATGCGTCGGCCATTGGATCCATTATGTATGCGATGGTATGTACGAGACCTGATGTCGCCTTTGCTCTGAGTGTCACGAGTAGATACCAGTCCAACCCTGGCGAAAGCCATTGGACGGCTCTGAAGAACATCCTTAAGTACTTCCGTAGGACTAAGGATGCCTTCCTGGTATATGGCGGAAAAGAAGAGCTCAGTATTGTTGGATATACTGATGCCAGCTTCCAAACTGATAGAGACGACTTCAAGTCGCAGGCAGGGTATGTGTTTTGTTTGAATGGCGGAGCTGTTACCTGGAAGAGTTACAAGCAAGATACTACCGCTGATTCCACTACAGAAGCAGAGTACATGGCTGTAGCCGAGGCAGCCAAGGAAGGTGTGTGGCTCAAGAATTTTATTACTGAGCTTGGAGTGGTTCCTAGCATCAAGAACCCTATACCGTTGTTTTGCGACAACAATGGGACAATTGCACAAGCGAAAGAACCTCGGTCTCATCAGAAGATCAAACACATCGTTATCACATCATACGAGAAATGGTTGCACGTGGGGACGTTGAGATTTGCAAGATAGGTACAGATGACAATATCGCGGATCCATTGACAAAGGCTTTGGGAAAGCCTAAACACGAGAGTCATACGTGGTCCATGGGCATTCGAGAAATGCTAGATTGGCCTTAGGGCAAGTGGGAGATTGTTGTATTTAGGTGCCCTAGCGGCAATCAAATACCTACGTAACTGTACACTTTATCATGAATGAAAGGCCTTGAAGTATGTTTTATATCTCGTGTAACATAACATAGCTTCAGTCCATAGACGATAGCGCTTCAGTAACATAGATGAGGACTACGATGTTCTGATTATGAGACTGTTACTTCTTGACGAAGGCTATGTCTAAAATGTCCCTAATCGCACTTTATGATAATACGGACGTCATAACGTATCAAGACTAGTACGTACAAGATGAGATAGTTGCGTCTCATAGACTATAGGTATTGTGATATCTTAATCTGTACGTAGGTGCATATTATATTGACAGTTGTAGTTTTTCGGGTAGTAAACCTTCCTAGTAAAGGGTTAGTTTTCTCTCCGAGTGTCGTGTCTCTCGAGGAGTGGACGAAGGGAATTAGTTTAATTACTCTAACTAGGCGAAGATTAGGATTGGTTTATGAAAGTCTTCTCGGAACGATTATAAAAGGAGCAGAGTAAAAATAATAAATTAAGTTTACATAGTATAAGTATAGATCTTGACCTAGGGTCAGGACATCATTTGGATCTATTTTATCATATTAAATTAACAATTGGAATAATAATATTTCTATTACTACTCATCCATTTCTAGATTTGTACTTAATCTGTTGTACTTGAATATCGTAGCCTTTTAGCATACAATATCTTCTCAATAAATAGTTAATTAAATCTTTCGAGAATGATTAACTAAATAAGGCAAGAACAATAGACCAACCATTCCAACATTAATTTAACATCAAAAAATAAACAACCAAACTAGTCCGGACCTAGAGATCCAGACCCTAACTCATACTATGCAAACATAAATTAAAATAGCATTTTATTAAATAAAGAAAACTTACAACCTCCGTAAAAGCGGAACAGAACAGATCTGGAGTCAAAACCTCCGAAAATACTTCAAACTAACTACTAAAACTAATATACAAGCTAAAATGGAGACGGGATATGTAAATACCGAAGTTGGGATGGAATGGGATGATAAAAATGAGAGAGATCGCGCTGTATTTATAGGAACGAATCCAAGGCGTCCAAGTCCAAGCGTCCAAGTCCAAGCGTCCAGATCTGGACGCCTGAGCTGTCCCGGCCAACCAGATTTTGCCACGTGTCATTCTTGGGCTGCATTTAAGCCAAAGCGTCCAACTCCCAAGCGTCCGGCCAAGTTGGACGCCTTGAGGCCTTGGTCCGTTGGGCTTCGCGGCTGTTTCGTGATTTTGGCCCAATTTCGCTCCGTTTTGGTCCCGAACACTGTTTTTGACCTCCCAGAAGCTCGTTCAAGCCTGAATCTTGATCCCTTGATGATTTATTCCCTTTTTCTCAAGTATTTGAACATAAAATGGATGATTTATGATAATTTCATGTGGAATCCCATTTTATGACTCTTAGAACGAAAATGAGAGTTTTATCCATCGAAATCACATTTTAAGAGATAATTAATATTATTTACGTGCAATAACGTTTAAATATTAACGATAGCTCCCACTGGCTTCCGGGCAGTTGAACTTCGGGCTATCTCCATTCTTTTAGATTTCTCCAAACGGTCATCAAATCTTTTCATCTTCTAACAACCACGTGAGAAAAGAATTCTCGGTTGAGGTAAGAGAGAGAAATAGATTTACAACAAGAGTTTAAAAGATAAGGCACGACACGCAGGCCGTATTATAATCAAATAAACAATAGCCACAATCATCCACCATGCATATCATACATCCACACAGGCAATAGAGATATACATACACCGGGTGAACCGCGCTCACCCCAGACAGTTCTAGAAAAATACTACGGGAGTAAATATTTTCTAAAACTCATAAAATTAAATTAGATGTCCAAATAAATCTAATAAAATTTTATAAAATAATTTTATATAATCTGGATATTCGGCCAGCATAAAAAAATTCCAGAATATTTCAAATGATCAAAATGCCCTTTTTGCAAAATTATATTCAAAAAGGCCATTAAAATTTTGAAACAATTTTGCGAAAATCATGAAAATTAAATTTCAACTTCCAGTAATTATTTTCAACATTTATAAACCTGGAAATAAAATTTCCAAAATTTATAAATCATTATTTCCAAAATATATTAGTTAAATCTCAATAAGTTATAAAAAGCCATTTAAATTGATTTCGAAAATATTAAATTTAATATTTTGAAAAACATTCTTTTTCTTACTGAGATATAACTTTCCAAAATATATATTAGTCATTTATGTAATTAAAATACAAATATATAAATATATATAATATTTCGGTAATAAAACCGAGTACATATATAAATATATATTTATTTAATTACTAACTAATATTATTTTGTACAATATATTTATCAAAAACCTTATTCAACTTAGAAATAATATTTCCAAGTTTAATAAAGTTCATTTTGAATTTTCCCATATTTATTTTTGGTTTTCACCTAAATAAATACAATAAATTTAAAATAGGAAATAATACATTAAAAAATTACAATATAATTTTATCAATCATAAAATGATGTTTTATGTCCAAATAAAATTATATTTACTATTTCTACAATATATATAAATATATATTTCGAAAAATCAAAATACATGTATTTATATATATATATATATTACGGGTAGAAATAAAACAAATAAATTTAAAATTCATTTTCAATGATTTATTTAAGTCCAATACTTATTCCAAGACTAAATAAAATCATTTTACCAATTTTTGAATTTTAATCATTACCAAGTTAAAACTTTGACTTTTAAAAATTTAAAAGTCAAACGTAGAACTATAGTTTTGTACGTTGGCTCCGATACCACTGAAAGGTAATCATGCAAGGATAGGCAGCGGAATATAAAAATTTTAACATCCTAACATGATTATCTTGCTTAGAATCACGTACTAAAACTTATAGTGAGTAAGAAATTTATACCTTTCTCCTTAAGCGGTAAAAACGAAGAAGTTGTAGGAAGAGCGTTGAAAGTGCAAACGTAACCGTTCAAGCGTCCGGTCTCCGACTTTGACACACGAACAACGCCGGAGTCTACCACAATCTTTATGCTAGTAAAGATTATAGTAGTATAAAATATAAAGATTAAAATTGGGATAATAATAATCTTGTATATTTCTTATAGAAAATATTTCTAATAATATTTAGAAAATATTATATATATTTTCTATACAGATAATGATATTAATGGAACACAAAGTATTTTTTCTCACTAAAAATGTAATGGTCGAAACTTAAAGCAAATTGGATGATTTTTTCTCCTCTTGTTTTAATGGTGCGTGAGGTGCATATATAGAAAACAAAGATTAATTTTTGTCATTAGCTAAATGACAAATCAATTAACTCCACTAAGTAATCAATCAATTGTTAGAATAATAGACCAACGCTAGAGGGGGGGTGAATAGCGTTTGATCGGAGAAATCGCAGGAATCAAAAAATTAAAAGAGAAGTAAAGAGAAGAGTAAGAGGCACACCAAATTTTACCCTTGTTCACCACAACTTGTGGCTAATCCAGCCTCCCGAGAGACTCTCTCGAGCTACACTACTATCTCGTTAAGCTTACGGGTGCTTAACAGACCGTTACAACTTGAGAGTTCGAGTCACACGAACCTCAACGAATCCTTCAAAGGAAACAGACCTTCCTTTGAATCAACGAGAGAAATACTTTCTCTCAACGTGTCTAAGAACACAAGTACACTCAAGAACGAGACTCTCTTGTAGAGTAGATTATGAGTAAACTAAGTACGCTCAAGAACAACTCAACCTTCACACACAAATGGCTCTAGAAAGCTATGGAAAATTATGATATTTGAATGCAATGAAAGTATGGATGTTGTGAAGTGAATTGGTTTTTTTGAAAAGCAGACCCAAACACCCCTTTTTATAGTGCCAAAATAGGCTCCAACGGACCAATACATTAAAGGGGTGATTGGCTTGATTTATGGGATTGAATAAATTTGGGATCTACAGGATATTGGCTTCCCATCGATGTTTAGACTCAACCATCGCTGGTAAGCCAATTTTCCTTCA